CCATCAGAGTTGCGAAGAGCACGCAGGGGCTCTTCTCGACGGGCGCGGCACCTCAAGCTACTTTCGGACACGAGGTCTGGGGGTTCGCACCCAGTCGTGCATCACACCTTCGACGGGTGGCTATGCGATCGGCCGCGGGACCAGGCCCAGAGCGATGCCTATCTACGGGAATGGCAGTGTTTCATCATCTCAGAGACCCAGCCATTTCTCTACGATGGCAGCTGGTCAGCGAATGGCGGCACCAATGGCTGCTACACCCAGAACTTCACAGGCGAGTACGACAAATCTGGACACCGATGCACCGAACCCTCCAGCGCGCCGGCACCATGATGCGGCACAAGGTTCATGGACCCGTCGCCGCTTTGCAGGCGACGCCCATCACAGCAGGGTGGGAGCCAGTTCAAGCAGCACTATGGAAGCGACCCACACCATAAGGAGACGAAGAATGGCGCGCACCGTTGATTGACCAACACGGCAGATGCGATGTGGACGCGGTCGAATACACTCAGCTCCTGGAAGACCTCGAGACCGACTTGGACACGGCAACGCGGAAGCAAGCAGCCGCGCACCTCCACGGCGAAGATTTGTGCAATGGAGGCGACGTTTGGCACATCGGCAGAGGACAACAGAGGTACGCGGACAAGGCTGAATGGCACGACTGGGCCTTCAACAACGTCGTTGTTGCAGGTGGGCAGTGGCCAAGAGTTAGACACGCCCAAGCTGGCTACGGATGCGACTCTGACATCTGCGGCCGGTGCAAACAAGAGCCAGAGACTCTTTTCCATCGTATTTACACATGCCCCTGTAACAAATGGAACGACGCATACGAGAAGACATGTTACTTTGCGAGGCATTCCGCCGAAGGAGTTCACACACCTGATCGTCACCGACATGGACAGGCAGGACTACGTCAGGTTTGGCTCTTTCGAGCAAGCGAGGGCTCCTGGCATGAAGTTATACATCTTCGGAGACGGGTCGGGAGGAGCTCGCGGAGCAGGTCCCGGGCGCAGCAGGGTCGCCATTGGGGTAGCTGCCACGAAGTTAACCGCTGGCGAGTGGAACAGGACAGCGGGCACGTCGGCAGATCTACCTGGACGGCGCCAGACAGCACCTAGGGCAGAACTCGCCACCCTCGCGATCGCTATCGAAGAGACAGACTATTGGTGATATCGTCTACGTCACACGCCATTCCCCTCTGCTCAACGCTTGGGAGAAAGGCGAAGCTCGAGACCCAGGACGCGGTAGAAATGCCGGTATCGGCACGCATCAAGCGAGCCATTATGGAGAACGAGCAACGGCACATCGACGTGGAATGGGCGCTCTCCCATCATGACGATGACGAGGCGGAAGTGGTAAATCCGATCTTCGCGGCGGGCAACGGCTTCGCGGGCGCCCTTGCGACGGTGGCAGCAGAGTCGTCTTGGGACAGGGTGCGTCAACCGCTGCCGCGCACGGACGAGTGGGATACGATTTGCGTCCACGTGCGAGTCCATGAGCGACGAGCGCTTGCCGACTCCGCAGATGCTGATCTTTGGTGCGCCGAAAGACCGCCCGCAGCCAAGCCCAACATAATGATAGACAAAGCAAAAGTCATGACCGAGAAGCCGAAGCACGACATGGTCAAGCTAGAGAAAAGTGGTTTTGCACGGCGCGCAGACAATATGTGACGGCGGACGCCCTGCTGGGGTTCGTGGACACGCTGTGCGAGACCACCTCTGTCACTGCTAACGAGATTGTAGACGTCGAGGGTGTTCGCGTTATTGGCAATGGCAGGTTGCACCCGACACGCACGATCAGCGAATGGACTTCTGTGCCAAATGCGCTGCGCACGGCGCTACGAATGGCAAGGGTTTGGGAGAGGCGCGCGAGAAAGTCATCGCAAAGAACGGCCAGGACGCATTGAACCGAATTCGCGATGGAAGATATCCTGGCTACAGAGGCCCGCCGAAGGCGGCACTGGAAGCGGAACGTGCCGGGCTTGTCATGCGGATGCACGACCGGGAATTTCTTGCTCCACATGTACTGCAGCAACTCATTGGGACACCACCACCGCCAATTGCTGAGCCACCTCCTCCACGCGCGCGACGTCGAGTTTCGTGAAGGCCTGCAGGACATGAAGTCGCTCAAGCACGGGGGGGGGTTCATCGAGTGGAGCAAATTGTGGCGGCAGGTCATATTGCAGGTGGAGTCGACGCTGCGTCTGGCCTGGGCGCGGCGCAGGCGCAGGCGATGGATTACGACGGCCCTCAGGTGCAGCACGGCCTTGAGGATTTTTTCGGCGAGGCCGAGTCCAGAGCGCAGCGGTCTGGACAATCGCAGACGCCCGCAGCAAGTTCATCCCCGACGGCATTGGTACAGGCCGCTCGAGAGCACATTGCTGAGCCACCTCCCCCACGCGCACTCCATCGAGTTATGGGAAGGCATGCAGGGCATGGAGTCGCTCAAGCTAGGGGCGTTAGAACGCAAGCCCCAGCCCCCAGGTGCACCCCGGAGGTAAACAGCGCGAGGGGCTGGGCTCAGTCGCCGAACGTGATGCCAGAACCTGCCCACAGGTGCACCCGCGTGGTATACAGCGAGAGGGGCAGGGCTGCAGTTGACACGGTACGCGACCAGGACGTAGCGCAGATGCAGATGATGGGTTTCGACGACCCCGAGGTGCAGCGCGACCCTGGATAATTTTTTGGAGATACCGAGTCCATATTGCAGCAGACTGGACAACCACAAATGTTCGCAGCAATTTCATATTCGACGGCATTCGTACAGCCCGCTGGAGAGTATATTGAACTGGACTTATTCCACGACGATGAGGAGATGCACCCGTCGTCAGCCAGCGGCGATATAGGGCCTCCGCCTTCTGAGCCCCTCGCCGCCGCTGCCGCCCGCCCGCCCGTCGCGAACCCCAGTGCGCCCGTGACCCCGGCACCTGGGAGCGGGCCCCCACTGCGCCCCAAGGGCCGACGAGCGGCGGCGGAACTGGATGGATGAAGTGATTCCACGGGCTCGCCGTGTCGTGCAGGGGCTCCTGTGCCTGCATGAGGTGGCGGGTCTAGTGGCGTGCCAAACCTAATCCTCCTCCTCCTCCTCCTTTTCGTTTTTCTCTTCCTCTTCCCCTTCCTTCGTGGGTTTGTCCCTCTACAGGAGGAGTATTCAAAAATGGTCAAACAATAGTCTGGAGGCGACTTCTGTTTAGTATTTGTTCATCTCTGTTGCCATATGTGTCCGGGCATGTTTAATGTTTCGCCCAAGATCTGCCTGTAGGGGAGGGACGTGCCCGACCTGACTCCGGGGCCTCGCGTGCTTTCGTCGGCGGCGAGCGGGGGGGGTGAAGTGACCCAGGCCCCGTCGGGCAATGAAGAATCAGTGGGGGAGGTCTTCGGTATTTGTCGGGCCCTGGGGGCCCTCGCCGGGCGTCGGGACTGGGGGTCGGCGTCATGAGAATCATGACCTCGGAGGCCTGGGGAGACGGGGAATGCCTTTTCAAAAGGCAGCGGTGTTTCCCCAAGGCCTCCAGCCTTTTGAGAGGTCTTGCGTGTCTTCGAGAAAGACTCGCCGATTTCTCAGAAACCAAGGAATTGCCGAGCCTTCTGAGAAGGCCCGCCCCTTCTCATTTCCCCTCGGGCTCGCCGCCGACTTCGGTGCGGTCGGAACCCAGACATGCTCGCATCGAAAAAAACAAGAAACACGACGGGCGGTTTTTGACAGTTGGGGTTGTTAGAAAAAGACTCCGGGTGAAAGATTGGCTCGAGGGAAAGAGTCAGGAGTTCCGGGGAAATCCAGACGTCGCATATCTTGGAACGTGTGCGGAAAGGACGGGGACGAAGATCGACAGCAGTGCCTGCCAGGGGCAACGTTGGAAGGACACTTTCGCCGACCTATCGGCGATGTATCGCTAGCTGATTTTAAGGCGACGTTTCCCGCCCGAGGCGGTCCTGCCGTCTCGTGCCCTCTTTGTTGTGTTCGCTATCACTTGTGAGGCCTATCCGAGCTTTTTGTTCACGCGACGCACGCATGCCAGCATGATCCCGCTCATTGACCTCGAGGGGCATCGGCTGGTCAGACCGCGCTATCGTCTACTTCGAAAGGCCTTACGGCTGGTGCCGCCGATCCTGGAGGCAGGACCTCCCCCGGGACACCCGCTGGCGACATCACGCGGGCCCTGCCGGGACTCCGGGGGAACCCCCCTTGAGACCCCGCCCCAGCTGGCGACCCTCCCCTGGGACCCGTCGAGCTTCCAGACGAGTGGGCGGCATTCTGACTCGGGACCATCCCTACCCTTTTGTCGGGCCTGTCCCCCTACAGGGAGATTTTCGACGACAAAAAAAACATATTTCAAACAAGCGCCAAAAATCAAAAAATAGTCCCCAGACTATTTTTCGACTATTGTTTTGCCCATTTTGGAGGTATTTTTAATATTTCGTCGAAAATCCCCCTGTATGGGGGACACGCCCGACTTAACCCTTAACCCTACTCACCGCAGACGGAACCTCTCCCGTCCTGCTGGCGACCCCCGCCGGGAACCCGGGGGGGCGGGGGGGGGGCTGACTGCAGGACTACCCTACCACAGGCAGGGCCTCCCCCGAGGCCCCTGCTGCTGGCGACCCCCCCCCCCGACCCGCCGGGACCCCGGGAGGGTGCAGCAATTTGGCCCAGACCCTCCGCCCTGCTCCCCCCCCCCCTCGTCAGGGAAGGGAGACAGGGAAGGAAATCCCCTTGATTACGGTTTCCCGTTCTTTGTTTGGTTTTAGACGTCTTTTGGATACGACGAAGACGAAGACGCAGACGAAGACAGCGACACCGTCTCACACGCGCCGAAGGGTCGGCGGATTTCCGCCCGAGAATGGCTTCGGCGGCGTCTCAGACGACATCTCCTGACCATGGCCGTCGGAACTCGCAGATGATCGGTGGCAGCGCAGCGGACACGGCATGGGTGCCACAGGGATGATGGGCGCGGTGGCTCGGAATTGCACGGGGAGAGCCTCCGATTATCCCATGCGCGCCAGGCCCGACATCGTCTACTGGTGGAACTCCCAGACGAACCTGACGTCGGCGGAGAAGCCTGTAGTTTAGGTTGGGCGGAGAGGGGAAACAAGGGAGGTGGGTTGAATCACTGCACAATGGAAACAAGTCCCGAGCAGAGCACCACGCACCACGATCACTGCCACGACCACGACCACGCTGACGCCGACGCCGACGCCGACGCCGCTGCCGCCGTTGCTCCCGCCGGCGACGACGACGGCGGCAACGACGGCGACTACGACGACGACTACGACGACGACGATGACGGAGACGAGGCGCGCGGACAGTCCGCATCGAAGCACGGATTCGGGAAAGGGTCCACTTTGCAGGTTCGGTCAAGCAGCACATCGTGGAGCGATGCTACAGCCTTCCCTGAGCACAGGCACGCCCCAGAGCATCAGCCAGACAAGTCGGGTTTGCATCCTCGTGCTTTGCTGGACTTCCTGGGCGCAGCAAACGTGGGAGGCAAGAAGACGAACGGGACGGATCAGCGGAGGGAGGGAAGGGGGAGGCTGTAACGGCGTGAGGAGGCCCTGCCCCATGGAGGAGAGGACAGGAGAGGACGAGGGATGGGTTGGGGGAGGGGTGTGAGGCTGGGGAGCTCGCATAGAGTCCAGCAGATGCGTGGAGCCTCCAATGGCGCAGGAATGGCACAGCCAGGTCCGGGTTCGAGGCTAGACGAAGCCGCAAGAAGCCGTACCCTCCTGCCTTGCCGGAGGTCTCGTGCCCCTGCCTTTCCACCAGCCTCGCTCTCAAGGCCCCCTCTGCGCGGCGACAAGGGCGAAGTGCAAGCACAGAGGCCGGCCTTGTCAAGTTGGGCCCAGGCTTGTCGGGGTCAACGGCACCGTAACGGGTACTTACTAACGGGTACTTTGAAATTGTGCCGAAAGTTGCCACTTTAGGGCCTCTTTCTTGCATTGCAGCGTTGCCCACATCGGGAAGGGTTGGGCTCGCTGGGTCACTGGCCAAAGTACCCGTTAGTGGAGTCCCCGTTTGAGGGGCGCTGACGGGGGCGATGAGAGGCGGGGATAGGCTCAGAGAGGGGATGCATCGACCCCGATCGCCCATCCATCGCCGATAGGGGGCCGATAGCCCACCCCGACCGACACGGGAACGGTCGGATTCGCCATCGGGGGCCCGTCGCCAATCAATCGGCCATGTACCGCCGATTCCAGGTCGACGTTTTCCCCGACGCGCCAGTGTGTGTAAGTAACCGGCCACGGGCGATAATAAAATTACCCCCCTGTTTCCCCCTTAAAAAAAAAAACAAATCCCCGACCGCAGGGATCTATCTGTGGGGAAGGCGCGGGGGCCGAACTTGATAATCCACGGGAAGGTTGCGGGGATCGAAGTTGCTATCATATCGCGCTGATTAGCAACAGCATCAAAAACGCTGAGCATGGCCACGATGGTCTCGGCACACCAGCTTCCGCAATCACGAGCGTGTGGCAGGGCTGTGGGATTCTCACCAGTTCTTTTTGCCGACGTTACGACCGCGCGGCAGGGCCATGGGATTCTCATTTTCTTAGCCGTTCCCGAATCAGGAATGTGTGCCAGGGCCATAGGGACCGATTGGATTTTGATTGCGCATGCGTTATTCGAGCAGGTGAAGCATTGAAGTTAGTTAGTTAACTGCATCACTTTTTAAGCGTACCCCTCACACGGTTCGTGGCCATTCCTCCTCCTCTTCCTCCTCCTCCACCCCCTCTGCCCCCGCAGCTGCCCAGGCCCAAGCTTCCCCGAGTCTCCGAGACTCCTGGCTTTCGAGCTTCCTCGAGGCGCCGAGCCTTTTCGCCCCAGAGGCAGCGGTCGGGGGGGATAGGCATGCCTACGCATCGGCAGTGCATCGCCGATGCATCGGCTTTGGGGGGGGGCATCGACTTGGAATCTGCGATGCATCGCCGATGCATCGGGCGCGCATCGCCGAAGCATCGGCGATGCATCGCCGATTCCAGGTCGATTTCTCCCCCAATGCCTATGCCCTCGCATCGTTGCCCCTGGCTGCGTCGCGAGCCCCAGCCATGGCCCAGCCCGCCGAGCGCGCAGCTGCCGCGAGCCTGCCCGTCGAGGCGCTGAAGCACGCGGCGGCGCCGGGCCCGAGCTCGAACGATATTTTCGAGCGCATGGCCCAGCGCAACGAGAAGATCATCGAGAAACTGAGCTACATCGCCCAGAAAGACAGCATCGCCGAGATGCGCCAGTGCCAGTCGAGCGCGCAAGGCACGGATGCAGCGAGGATGACGAGCTGCTACTTCAAGGCCGAGAGCGCCTTGCGGTCGCCGAGCGCCCAGCAAGCCGCGCTGGGGATGGTCTACCAAGGCGGGCGCCGCAGGAGCATCGAGTGCGACCACATGTTCAACGAGAAGGACAAGAGGCGCATCGGGCTGGCCGCGGCGGTGTTCTTCAAGACCTACGTCGAGAAGAACGATCACTTGCACTACATCTTGAAGAACCACGGAAAGCCGCCCGAGGACCTCTTCTGGCTCATGCAGACCTTCGAGGCCAAGCTGCAGGAGCTCGCCAAGAAGAGAGGCCTGGAGCTCGGCGCCGAGAAGGTCGAGAAGCTGGCCCGCGGCTCCTGCGCCGAGCGCATCGGGTTAGCCCCCCCCAGCGCCCCCGCCTAGCTCCTCCACCTCCACGAGCTAGCGCCGCCGATCAACAAGAAGTTCGAGCTCGTCGAGTACTTGCGCGAGAGGCCCGCCGAGAGTGCCGAGATGCTCTTCAACGTGATTCCGCGCAGGGCCCGAGAGCACGTCGGGTGGTGCAGCGAGGCCCCCATGGCCTCGATGGCGACCGACGGGGTCGCCGAGGCTACCACCCTAGCCGTCATCAAGTGGCGCTGGCCCATCAAGATAACCGCGGACATGAGCTACGAGCCGCGCGAGCGCAGCTACCAAGACAAGCGCGCCAAGCGGGGCTGCCCGAAAACCGCCAAGCAGCAGAAGCACGAGGAGGTGACCCCCCGAGAACCACATCAAGCTGCACTTCGACCAGCATGCGTCCATCCAGGAAGAGCACGATAAACTCAACATGAACAACGGCGATGACGAGGGGGGCCAGGCCGACACGAAGGCCGAGTCAGAGCCCGCCTCGCCCGCGCTCGCGGTCGCCTGAGCGCGCGAGCTCCCCGAGCCAAGCGCCCCGTGTTTTTTCGCTGCGGGGGCGCCGTTTCGGGGCGCGCGCTCGAGCCCGTCTGCTTTTCAAGCTCCAAGAGGGCGCTCGAGCGCGCGCGAGTGGCGCCCCGAGCTGCGGGGCGCCCCCCCCCCCCCCCCTGGGCACCTTGGGCCCTAGATCCGAGGGTCGCCAAGCTTGGGCTGGAAGATCTGGGGTTCGCGATCCGAGCATCGAAGATCGAGCTTCGGCGACCCTCGGCCGTCACATTGCCATCGAGCACGCTCGATTCTCCATCCTCGGATCGAGGATCCGAGATCGTGAGTCCGAGCATATTCGGGCACCCTGGGCCCTAGATCCGAGGGTCGCCAAGCTTGGACTTGAAGATCGCGGGCTCGACGCCCAGTGCTCGAGGACCGACCAAGCATCTGCGATGGTAGATCGCCCTCGCCACCGCCCTCGCGCCCGAGGGCCCAGGATCCTGGCCTCAAGCATTTCCGAGCACCTCGGGTCCTAGATCCGAGGGTCGCCAAGCTTGGACTGGGAGATCTCGGGTTCGACGTCCGAGGCCCGAGGACCGAGCCTCGGCGATAGTAGATCGCCTTTCTCGCCGCCCTCGAGCCCGCGCTGCCTCCGAGCAGGCTCGACCCTCCATCCTCGGATCAAGGGTCCGAGATCTTGGCCTTGATCATCTCCGATCACCTCGGATCCTGGATCCGATGGTCGCCGAGCTTGGACTGGAAGATCCCGGGTTCGACATCCGAGGCGCGAGGGCCGAGCCTGGCGCGTCTCTGGTCGTCTTCGGGCCCGCGCTGCCACCGAGCAGGCTTGACCCTCCACCCCCGGGCCAAGGGTCCGGGATCATGGTCTTGAGCGTCTGCGAGCACCTCGGATCGAAGGCCCGAGGATCGCCAAGCTTAGACCCCAGGATCTCGGGTCGTCAATCCGAGGGTCGAGGGTTGGGCCTCGACGCCTGGCGGCCACGGGCAGGCGCGCAGACGCGCGCGCACGCGCGCGCACCCAAAACGCCAACCCTCACACACGCGCACACAGACACACACACACACACACACACACGCACACACACACGCACAAACCACACACACACTCGCTCGCCCGCGCACGCTCACGCACGCACACACGCACACGCACACGCGCACACACGCATTCTCGCACGCCCACACACCAGCACACAGTCACACACAGTCACACATATGCCCACACTCCCACGCGCACACGCACTCACACACGCACACGCGCCCACACACACTCACACAAAAGAACACAAACACAAACCACAGCAGCCACGACAGCAACAGCAAACAGCAAAAGAGAAGCAACAGCAGGGCAGAACAGCACCAAGACAGACATCAGGCAGAACAAGCAGCAGCTGCGCACCCGCACGCTCGCAAACAGCAGCAAGACACACAAGAAGAGCAAACGCAACGCGACAAACGAGAACAGCAGCGAGAAAGAGCACGAACAACAAACAACCGTGGCCTAGTTAGGCTTAAACATTCCAAGCCAGCTGAGGACGCAGCGCGCCATGGCCGAGACGCAGCGCCCCATGGCCGAGTCGGACAGCGACGATCGTCGGTCTGTCGCCGAGCTGTCGGGCGCCGGGAGCGCCAGCGAGTGGGCGAAGGGCGACGAGTGGACGAGGGGGTCGGAAACCGCTGCGCCGGGGGGGGGGGGGGGGCGCCAGCAAACCCGAGGACAAGAGCCTCGAGGACAAGAAGCTCGACGACAGGGAGGCCACGCTCGAGGTCAAGAAGCTCGACGACAAGAAGGCCGCGCCCGAGGACAAGAAGGTCGACGACAAGAAGCGGAGGCGCCTCTGCAAGCCCGCAACGACGAGGCAGCGCGATGCCTCGCAGGCCTCGGCCCCGAGTTCCGAATCAGGCCTTAGGCGCCTCGCGAGCCGCTGGGAGCTCTCAGCG